AATATAACAATATTTTTGTTTATAATAATTCATATGTTAAATATCCTTAATTTTTTAAATCCCAAAATAATAAATATTTATCTTCAAAGATTCCATCTTATAATTAAAATACAAAGCCTGTCTACTTCTAGATCACCAATTAGCCAAATAAATTATTTCTTTGCAACAAACCTAACCTTTTCCCTTATTCTTAAATTCATTGTTTATAGATGAAAAAGGTGATACCTATAATTCAATGCATTATTAAATACTAATTATAATAAAATATTTATACCCTCAATTTTATAAATTTCATCAATTATAACTACACTTTTGAATTCTTACTTGTCTTAATCTCTTCCTTCCCTAATACTAATTTAATCTTATAATACTACATAATTTTCTGTCTAATTTTAACTTAATGCAGTAATATAATTATTATTCTTGATTAAAGAATTAAAGATAAGTCAGTTTATTTTAATTAAAATTAACCATCCATACTTTAATTGATCTATCATCACTCCCAGAAAATTATAAATCTTCATTAGAATTTAATATCCTACGCATTATATTATCTGTATGTTATACTTAAGGTTGTGCCAGAATCTTATTGTCTTATCTCCAGCACCTTCAATAAATGAATTCTGTTTCTTACTGTACACTAAACAGTAAATCCTTTATAGTATATATCATAATTGATTTAGATAATTCAAAAAATATTTTTCTAAATGAATCACTTTATTTAAATAATCCTTTAATTTACTTTCTTAATAAATGATAAATTTATACAATTATATTACCCTTTCCTTTATCTTTATTGAATTAATTTAAATTATTATATAATTTAGTCATTTAGGGCTTATTAATATTATCAATTAACATAATATTAGAGACATAACTAGTATCCTAGATGTTAATGTAGTCAACTAACTCATCATTAAAATTTTGTATAATATTATCTTTAGGTTGATAAAATATCACCTCAGCCTTAGGCTAAACTAAGATGAAAATCAAATAAATTTATAAATATGTCTTTTAATTCTGATATGAAGCCAAACTTTATAATAAATCAAAATTAAGAATATTAAAGTCAATTTGATACTTATTTATTGATTTTTTAATTATTCATATTTTCTATGTTTATATATTATTTTATTTTTACTTTAAATTGTTAATCAGAGCTCAATTATATTATAATGAAATGCTTTTAGAAGTATTTCAACTATTAGCATTTCAATAATTCAATTAATTTTGATTATCTAAACACAATTTTTTTTCATTATCCAAAAATTAAATTGGTATCTTGGTTGTTTATAAAGTATTATTTGGCTTTTATAGGAGAACTGAAACAATGAAATAATATCTAAAACAAAAATTCTCAATAAAAAAAACATAACAATTAATAAATATTAATTTGTTCTAAATTTAGAATTTCTGTTATAGTTTTATAAATTATTTTCTTATTCAATTTACTAATCATTATAAATTAAATTAAACTCATCATATTTAGATTGACATCTTTAATTTTTCGATAAAAAAATATAAAAATCTTTCTAGAGGTAATATTTTTTGGAACTTTATCAGAAAACGGCAGAAAATTATTATTGACCAAAAATAAATCTCTATTGAATTTTTATTTTCAGGAAATAACTATATTTCGTACATCTTAATTGCTTAGAATCTTTGTATCTTATATTTTGAATTATTGTATGTATACTAATTATGCATTCCAAAAAAAATTATAGGGTTACTTTAACAAATAAATTGCTTGGTTTAGATAATCTCAAAATTTTTTTATACACTAAAATTTTTATTTAAAGGAGCAGCCTACATTAAATCTGTTATATAGTAAATATGATGTGAAGAGAGTACTTATAGGACATTCATATAAATGAATCTATTTATTCAATTTTTTGACACGATTTAGTTTAGAGATTGTGATTAAACAAGGACCTCGCAGCATGATTCCATATATATTTTATATTCATAAAACAAGAAGTTCATTTTTTTAATTCAATTATATGAAATCAAGGAAATAAATTATTGAAAAAGGATTACGATACTATCTATTTTAATTTCCATATAAAAATTTGAGTTTAAAACTAAGAAGAATATATATAGATTTCTAAAGTTCTCAATGAGAATTTATAAAAAGCTGGTAAGATCAGAATTCTATTTGACTAGCTTAATTAAATTTAAACAGCATAAGAGAGTTATGTAGGTAAAATGAACAAATAGAGATTTAACAGAATATTGTGAAAAATTGACTTAATTAATTATGTTGAGTGATAAAAGAGAATGCAATAAGAGTATCGATCTATTCGAAATATAAAAAATTGATGGTAATATATATTAACATGAGGTAAATAATAATAAAATAAATTAGATTTCATATGAATCTGTTTTGATAAGTGAGATGGTTAATCACTATTTGTCGAATGTTTGCCCCATTATTGAGAGTCAGAAATCTGTGTAAAATTAGACTTAAGGTTATCCAATTTTTCATAGCTTGCTCATAAAGTTGCTATTTGCCATTTCGAATTCAATAATCGAGTTATTGTGAAAGAAATAGATGCCAATTAGGCAATTAAGTTGATAAAGAGAAAATTTCATTTTAAGAATTTAACTTGATGTAGATTGGTTTTTTTTTAATTCCAAAACTATTAACAAACTATTTAGGTCTTAGTATTATTACTCTATTTGAAGAGATACTAGAGAAATAAGATTATAGGAAAATATTATGAAATATTTTCGTGTGTGTGATTGTATTGCTTAGCTCATATATTAATAGTTAAAATCCAAGTCTCAATTCTAATCAGGAAGGGAGTCATTTAAATAAAAAAGAAAAACATTATAAATATTTTTAGCTTTCTTTGCTTTTTTCTAGAATAAAATCGTAATATAAAATTTAAAATTAAAGTGTAAATTAATTTATTATTTAATTAAATTTTTGCACCAAAAATGATAGAAAATGAAAAAGATATATGTTGTTCTAAAGGACACTAACTACATGTTGTTACAGTTGTGCTAGATCCAAAATTAATAAAAAATTAGAGGCTATTATGCACAGAATGTTTAGAGACCACAGAGATAGAGGCCAAAGTGGTTGGTCTAAAGATAATTACTTAATATATTAAAGATGGTTAGGTAAAGAAGATGGAGAGAATAGAAAACATTATAATTAATTAAGTAAAATAAATTGAATAATTACTTGGTGCTGTTAATTAATTGAAATCAGTTGTAATTCAATAATTAGACTAATTTATAACAATAATTAAAGATTGGATATAGAATCTATTATCTTAAGGTTCATAATATGCTAAATTTAGTTTTTTTGAGGAGTTAGATATGATTATTTTGAAGTAGAATAAAATTGAAATTAATTTTGAAAAAATAATCAATGAAATTCATAAAACCAATTACTCTTGGAATTCAAAATTGCATCCGAAATTAGAATATTTTAATAAATTTGTAGAATATAATAAATGTAAAGAATTATTGTCGAATATGGATTTAAATTCTTAGAAATTTAGCCAAAGTGAATAATAAAATTAAATCAAAGTAAATCCTTAACAACAACCTAATTAGAATTAATAATAAGTATTATAATTAGTAGAAATCAAATTAAAGTTAATTGATTAATCAATTAAATAAATTATCAAATGTAATGCAATTGTTTTTGATTCTTCTGGATCAATAATGGTATCAACAGAAAAGAATGATATTAAAGTCTGGAGTTTTCTTAATGGAACAATCAAATTAATAAAAGTTTTGTAAGGACATAGTAATTGGATTTAATGTTTAGTTTATAGTAAGAAATAAAATTCCTTTATTTCAGGTAGTGGAGACATGAGCATAAGATGTTGGCAGCAACTGGATTAAACTAATTGGAACAGTTCTTTACCTTATATATATCATAGAGATTTTGTAAGATGCATTTTATTGAATTCAAATGAAGATTTACTATTTTCTGGAGGTGATGATAAATAAATTATAGTTTGGAAGGCTGATTTAAATGAAAATAAATTGAAATGTCTTTATTCTTTAGATAAACATAACAATTCAGTTGTTGCCTTGAGTTTAAATTAATCAGAAAAATATTTAGTATCATGCGCTAGAGATAAGAATTAAATAATTATTTGGGAAAGAAAGAACGAAAATAAGTTTGAATTCAAATATTTCGTTAACTAATCAATCTAAAGCTGTGGGTTTAAGGTTAAGTTTATTAAAGAGAACTAATTTATCTGGATAACTGGTAATAAAGATATAGATTAACTATATGTATTTGAATTAAAAGATGGAGTCTTTTAAGAGAATTAAGAGAAGGCAATAAAATTAATACAGAATTAGATGACAGTTGATGAATATCATTTTCCAATCACATACAATAAAGAGAAGAATTTAATAGTGTTTTGACATAAAACATATATTTATCTAATTCAAGAAATGAGTAATGGAAAGTTCAAAATAATCGATTAATTAATTTGTGAAAAACCATCTATTTTTGGAACTATTACAAATAATGGAAAATATTTAGTGTATTGGGATGAAAAAGGGTAAGGATATTCGACATTTG